ACAAAATTCACCAAGTGAAAGCCTATGGATATATACGTTTTAGTATATTCACAAGGTTGTGTAACCGTCACCACTGTATAATTCCAGAACATTTTCATCATCAACCCAAAAAAGAAACACTGTTTCTATCAGGAGTCATTCCTCAATCTCCCCATTCTCCAACCTGTGGCAACCATTAATCCAGTTTTTGTCTCTGTGATTTGCCTATTCTGGATATTTCACATAAACGGAATTATATAATACATGGTCTTTTTGTCTGGCTTCTTTCACTAAGCGTCTTTTCAAGGTTCATCTGTGGTGTAGCCTGTATCAGTATTTCATTCCTTTTTATGATGAAATAATATTCCATTGTATGGATATACATTTTATTTATCCATCCCTTGGTTGATGGACATTTTGATTTTTTTCTGGGTATTGGCTAGTATGAACATTCACAAGTACAAGTTTTTGTGCGGACGTATGGTTTTTGTTTCCCTTAAGTCTATGCCTAGGAGTGAGCAAAACTTCAAGACTATTTTCCAACGCAGACATCCCCACCAGCGGTGTCTGAGAGTTCCAACTTCTCCACATTTTCACTAAAACTTATTATCTGCCTTTTTTATTATAATTCTCCTAATGGTTGTGAAGTGGTATCTCACTGTGGTTTTGATTTGCATTTGCCTATTGGTTACTGATGCTGAGCATCTTTTCCTGTGCTTATTGGTCATTTGTGGATCTTCTCTGGAGAAATGTCTATTCAGATCCTTTGCACATGTGTTCATTGGGTTATCTTTTTTTTTCGTTTTTTTTTGTAAACTGCCCAGTTTATTATTATTATCATTATTTTTAGATGGCTACAAAGACAGCGTGAGACCTCACACCTAGACTAGCTTTCCTGGTGGAAGGGCTTGGGTACAGACAGACAGCCGGGGGTAGGTTTGTTTTTTTTTTTTTTTTTTTGTCTTGTTTTTTTTTTTTTTTTTTAAAGAAGAAAGCAAAGAGGTTGACTGGGGTGAGGTGGGGGGGGCTTGCTAGAAGCTTCCATTTTTAAAAATTTTCCCCCTGAAAACAAATTTAAAAATCCCAATAACGGTAAAACCCCAAACAAACAAACAAAAAAAACAACAAAAAAGTGTCACGTACATAAAAGGTCCTTTTGGGAATGGGCAAGGGGTGGGATTTTTCTGGTCACTGACTTGAAATATATTTTTATTTTGAGTTTTGTCCTTCATGTTTTATGGAATAAAAAGTTCGGCCTTTTTATTGCATGAAACTAAAACTGGGACAGGTGGGGGGCTGAGGGGGAGCAGGGAGACGCCCCTCCCCCAGCTCCTGGGTAATGACACCTCACTTCTTGCATAACTTCTGGCATCTTCCCGCCTGAAATGCCGGCTCTCTCAGCATCTCGGAGAAGAGGAGGGGATCACATGCTCATCGTCATGCTTGGAGAATAATTGTCATTCTGGAAGGAGTGGAGGAAGTTCCCTCCTAGCTCACCGTCGTCCCGAGGGGTGCCTGGAGGGTTGCTAATGCCACTTATGTTGTTAGGAGAATTCTAACGATCCATTCATGTGGTGTGGCTCCATGCCGCCCATGCCACCCCTCTTTTTATTTCATTTTAAGAGTGCTTTGTGTATTCTAAATATACGTCCCTTGTCAGATATGGGATTTGCAGATGTATGCTCCATCACTGTGAGTTGTCTTCACTTTATTAATGATATCCTTTGGGGCACAAAAGTTTGCAATTCTGATGAAGTCTAACCTTTCTTTTTGTTGCTTGGGCTTTTGATGTCTTACTTAAGAAACCATTGCCTAATCCAAGATCACAAAGCTTCACTTCTGTATTTTCTTCTGTGTGTTTCATAGTTTTAGCTCTTAAATGTAGGCCTTTGATCCATTTTGAGTCCATTTTTGTATATGCTCTGGGGTAGGTCCAACTTCATTCTTTTGCCTGTGGATGGATACCCAGGTGTCCCAGCTCCACTAGTTGAAAAAACTGTTTTTTCCCTATCATTGTTTTGGCACTCTTGTCACAAAAAAAAAAACAAAAACAAAAACAAAAAAACACAATGGAATGTAAGTGTGAAGGTTTATTTCTGGAATCTCAGTTCTATTCCATTCATCTGTATACCTGTCCTTTTGCCAGCACCACACTGTCTTGATTACTGTAGCTTTGTAATAAGTTTTAAAACCAGGAAGTGTGAGTTCCAGTTCTGTGTGTTTTCCCAGATTTTTCAGCTGTTCTGGACATGCAGCAGATTCTTCAGAGGCACTGATTGCTTGGTCACTTGCTTTCTGGTTTCCTTGATGGACTGGTGAACCTGTGAGAGCCTGGCTGTCTTGCATCGTTAGCTAAAAAGTCCTCTCCCACTCTCTGCCTCCCTTCACAAGGCATTTGGCCAGTAGCGATCTGGGTTGTTCTGGCCAAGCCGTCCTAGTTCAGGGCAAAGTGATAAAAGAGGAGACTTGGTGGGGTACATCTGGCCCCTCAAGCAGATTTAAATCCAGCTAATTCTCTCCCCTCCCACATTCAGCTTCTTTCCCCTTCCTTCTTCATCTGGCAGAGTCAGTATTTGGACAGCTCTCATTTTTTCTGGATCCACTTATAGCCAAATTACACCAACACTCCCCTGTGCCTCTGTCATGCCCATCACTCTCCTGCCACTTCCTAAGCACGATTCATGACAAAATGGTACAGGATGGGGGACATCTGTCCTGTCAGGTGGGGCAAGTGCAGCAGGCCTTTCTGGTGGCATCATGAATAAAAGTGATAAAGCCAAGTGTGACTTCCCCATCTCCGTGGGCTGTTTCTCCATGGCCTCTCTGCAGGGAAGGGGCAGCTTCTGGGCTGAGGCAGACTGAGCTCACTGCCACCACTTCTCACTATACAAACTTGGATCCGTTCCCCATGAGCATAGCTTCCTCATTGGTTAAATAAGGATACCTCCCTGCTCATGTGGGAGCAGTAAGGGTTAGAAAGGCCAGTGTTCATTATTATCACCAGTAACCCTAGTTAACCATTTAGTGAATGCTTTCTTTGTGGCAGTCCCTGTGTTAGTGTTCAAACTGAATAAAGATGGGGGCAAAAGAAAAGATTTCATGACTTCTGGAGCCACACACAAGCTCAGCAGATGTGCTGAGCATCTGCTATGTGTTTAATCCTATGCTGGTCTTCATGTATATTTTCATTTCTTTGAGGTATGAGGTATGAAAGATGCTAATTAATTATACCACCTCCCCATACAGATTCTAAACCATCTGAGAACTACACAGAGGAGTCAGGTAGAGATAAAAATAGAGATTATATTGTAGGTAAAAGCTGGACCAACACATGTCCAAGACCTACAGCCAAAAGACACACTTGCTTGCTTCTTCTCTCCCATCCCCGTCTTCTTTTTCTGTTGCCTGGGTTAAATCCTGGTTCCAGGGAGCAGAGGCACCAAGGGGCAGGGGTCCTGGGGGGTTGATTTGGGGATGGTGACATCAGTCTTGGGGCTGCTTCCATGATTCTAAGCTCTGCTGGGTGGGCTCCAGGTAGTAATACTGGCTCTGCTTCGGGGTCACCAGCCCTACTTATCTCACTGAGAAGACCTATATGTCTGGAATGTTGGTGCTAATTCTCCAAATCTGTGCTCTGCAGGCACCATGAAACATTTTGCCCATTCTGACTATTTATATCTACTTAAAGCATTGTGACTATATACAAGTAGCTTAATCTGAGCCCAGGGTTCCTCACCTGTGAAGTAGGGATGGCAATACCCAACCCATAAGATGTCAAAGGAGTGAACAGAACGTACTTGGTTAGGGCCTGGCACATAATAGGCCTGGGGGGCGGAGGGGGGCATCCTACTTGGCCCAGTTCAGTACCCTGAGAACTCAAGCTTTCAGTCCAGACTCTGAGCCTTCTCCCTGTGTGCTGAGCAGGTCTCTGTGGGGGCCAGCAGTCAGGGCCAGATCTATGTGCTCGAGTTGGAGTTGGGGATTAGGGAACGATGAGGCCTCAACAGAAGTGGGTCATCAAAAGGCCCTGGTGCATGGAGGGACCCAAAGAGGTTCATTTTGTGGAAGTATTGCAGTCCTGTGTCTCAGACCTCCTCCAGGTAGGGAGTGGGAGGCCTCGGGTTGTTAGCAGAAGTGTCAACACCCAGAGCCTCTCTTCAAACCCATATTTAGGACTGTCTAAGGCAAAATCATAAAGTAAGCAATGGTTTCCCCAAGGCACCTGCTTCCTCTTTCTGCACCCCATTCTACTCTTTCCACACCCTTTTCCAGCCAGCGAGAAAGACGACAGTCTGAAAAACAAATTCGAAGACAGAGGGCAGCAAAATATGAATCAAATCCAGTTTGCCACCTGCTGTTGTACAGCCTATGAACTACAAGTGGTCATTATGTTTGTAAATGGGGAAAAAATCAAAAGAAGAATATTTTATGACATGTGAAAACTCTATGAAATTCAAATTTTATTGGAACATAAATAAAGTTTCCATATTGTCCGTGGCTGCTTTCAGCAGAGTTGAGGGGTTGTGACAGAGACTTGAAGACCCCCAGGGTCTAAAATATTTATTCTCTGACCTTTTAAGAAAAAGTTTGCTGATGCCCTGCTCTAAAATGGTAAGAGGTTTAGGTGTCATGTGGCTATCAGGATTTGCCTTGAGAGAGAGGGGCAAACAAGTGGAACTCAGGCATTGTGGCAGGCCTGCAGAGGAGACACTGGGTCTTTCCTGAGATCCTTCCAGTTACACTAGGTGGGCTGACGGGAGCTAAATGTTTCATCTTGCAGGTGGGCTTGCTTCTGACCACACAGGGATGGGGGGCATGAAATGGTGCTGTTTGGGCCTCTGACTTCTTCCAGCAGAATGAAATGAATTAATAACCTCTGAGGAGCCTATCCCAGCAGCCTCCCTGCAGGCTGGTGGCCATGATTTGACCTGAGCACCTTCCCATTGCCAGAGTCCTGCAGAGCCTCCCTGGGCTGGCCCTGAGCAGCACATTCACCGCTCGCCTCTCTCTCGTTTCCACAGAATTTGCCTTCTGCCAGGTGGACGCTTCAATTGCACTGCCTCTGGCCCTGGCTGTGCTGTGTGACCTGCTGCAGCAGTGGGACCAGCTGGCCCCTGGACTCCCAGTCCTGCTGGGATGGCTGCTGGGAGAGGGTGATGATTTCATGGTCCGCGTGGAAAGCATGCATCAGGTAATCCTAGGGTCTCAGGGCAGTGGCGGTGGAATCAGATTGGTGGCCTGAACCCACTAGATGCAGCTCATCAGGCTTACGTAGGCTTCACATGCCCGCTGAAAGTGTCCTTTGGATGCTCACATACAGATCAATAACCAATTAGGAAAGTCTCCAAATGACCACAGCAGCCTGCTAGATGCTGCTGGGGGATGCTGGGACAGCTCTCAAGCTGACTTCTGGGGTTCCAGTGGGGTTCCAGTCTTCAGATCACCAGGGGAGAGGACTTTGAAAGAGCCTCCTGGGTTTCTGAAGCTGGTGGGCATTCCCTACCCCCTACACACTTTGACGGCCCAGCTAAAGCCAGCAACCATGGCTGCTCCACACCCAGGACACCCCTTGATTGCCTGGCCCTAGTGGCCAAGGGAGCTGGCATCCTGAACTCCACAGGAAGGTAGTGATCAGGAAGACAGTTCTTGGCAGTCTGCCACCCCCAGGGCACTGCACAGACAGCAGACTGAAACACAACCCCAGTCTTCATGGGAAAAAAGGCTGTTTGTATAGCCTGGAACTTCAGCCTGAGGGACAGGCTTCAGGTTTCCCACACATTTAGAGGCTCAGAAGGCGTTCCTAGGGAACACAATCAGGAAGTGACATCCTTGCATGCCCCCTTGGCCTTGCTAAAGCTCCATGAGACTTCCCGGAAAAAAGCTAATATATTCATCTGGAGCCCCAATTTTTGCAACAGTTGCCCAGGGGACACCTCTACATCTCCTGGTCTGGAGGCCAGCAAGGATTACAATTGCCATCCCACAGTACTATATATATTTTAAAAGCTGCTGCCAAAGGGTCTGGCTTCCAGTCAGCCTGAAAGCAGGTGCTAAATGAGATTCCTCCCCTTGGAACACTGACTGGTCTTGGCACACCCTCAACAATGGGGACATAATAAAAATAAATCAGGCGGTTTAGACAATCAGAAAGGTTCAAGAGACAACCAAGAACTAGAGCAAGGTTGAAGGAGAAATTTCATCACCCACAAGGCCACCCACTCCTTCAAGACTGAGAGAGGTGGCTGCTTTGCCTAATACATAGAAGCAAACAGAGTCAAGCAAAATGAGGAAACAGAAATATGTTCCAAATGGAAGAAAAGACAAAACCTCAGAAAAAGACCTTAATGATGTGGAGATAAGGAATCTACCTGGTAAAGAATTCAAAGTAATGGCATAAAGAAGCTCACTGGGGTGTCTGTGTGCCTCAGCGGGTTAAGCGTCTGCCTTCAGTTCAGGTCATGATCTCAGGGTCCTGGTATCGAGTCCCACATCGGGCTCCCTGCTCAGGGCAGAGTCTGCTTCTCCCTCTCACTCTCCCTTTGTGCTCTCCCCCCTTTCTCTCTCTCAAATAAATCGATAAAAATCTTAAAAAAAAAAAAAAAAAGAAGAAGAAGAAGCTCACTGAGCTTGGGAGAAGAAAGGATGAACACAGTGAGAGCTTCAACAAGGAGAAAATATAAGAAAGTGCCAAATAGAAGGCACAGAGCCAAAGAATACAATAACTGGCTGAGAAACACTAGAAGGGCTCAACAGCAGACTAGATGAAACAGAAGAATGGATCAGCGAGCTGGAAGACAAAGCAATGGAGCTCATCCAGACAGAGCAGCAAAAAGGAAAGCAAATTTTAAAAATGAAGATAACTTAAGAGAGCTATGGGACAGCATCAGGTGGAATGACATTCACACCATAGGGATCTGAGAAGGAGAAGAGAGAAAGGGACAGAAAACTAATTTGAAGAAACAATGGCTGAAAACTTCCCTAGCTGGAAAAGGAAACAGAAATCCAGGCCCAGGGAAGCCCAAAGAATTCCAAAGAAGATGAACCTAAAGAGATCTACACCAAGACACATCATATTTAAAATGTCAGAAATTAAAGAGAGAATCTTAAAAGCAGCAAGAGAAAAACAAATTATTACATACAAGGGAAACCCCGTAAGGCTGTTGGCAGATTCCTCAGCAGTAATTTTGCAGGCCAGAAGGGAGGGGCATGACATACTCAAAACCTTCCAACCAAGAATACTGTACCTGGCAAGGTTATCATTCAGAATGGAAGGAGAGATAAAGAGTTTCCCAGACAAGCAAAAACTAAAGGAGTTCGTCACCACTAACCTAAGCTTAGAAATGTTAAAGGACTCCTTTAAGTTGAAAAGAAATGGCACTAATTAAGATGGGATGAAAGGAACCCTGACTGCCGCCCCATCCAACGCCCCTGACCAACAGGAAGTAGCTATGATCGGTCGTCACCCTTCTTCCTAACAGGAGTTAGGGTTACCTCTTCAGAGAGGGGAATGATGAAGGATAGCTGGAAGGCAGGCAGGCAGGGACAAGCCACACACACACACCCGCCCCCCCGCCCAGCCCTAAGGAAATCACCCTTAAAAGGATTTTACACCACCCTGGAAGGAACCCTCTACCTTTTCCCATATGATAGATAGGTGACAAAAATCTGACTGGATGACAGGTGCAGGGAGGGTTAATCAGATTAAAACAGCCTGCCAACAAGCCCATAAATAAACCCCTAAACTTAGAAACTCCAGTGGCCACTCCCTCAGGTCCCCTCCCACCTTGGGAGCTTTGTACTATCTCTTTGCTATCACTCAATAAACCTTGCTTTGCTGCCCACCCAAAAAAAAAATAAAAAAGCAAGCGAGAAATGGCACTAATTAATAAGAAGAAAACATATGAAAGTAAAAATCTATATTAGGTAACTATATAGTAAAGGTAGTAGATTAATCGCTTCCAAAGCTACTTTGAAGGTTAAAAGAAAAAATGAACTAAAACTACAATAATTAAGGGAAACATAAAAAGATGTAAAATGTGACATCAAAAACATAAAATGGAGTAAAAATGTAGAGCTCTGGGATATGTTCAAATTTAAGTTGCTATCAACTTAAAATAGACTGTTATAGACATAGGATGACATGTGAACCTCACAGCAAACACAAAGAATATGTATGTATGTAATATGTATGTAAATGCACAATGAAAATGAGAAAGGAATCTAAACACTAAAGAAAGTCATCGAACCACAAGAGAAGAAGAAAGGAACATACAGGACCTACAAAACAGCCAGCAAATAGTTAACAAAAGGTCAATAAGCAGATACCTATCAATAATTACTTTAAATGTAAATGGACTAATTCTCCAATCAAAAGACATAAGAGTGGCTAAATGGATTTTTAAAAAAAAGATAGATCTGTATACTGCCTGCAAGAGACTTCATAAGTAAGGACACATGCAGCCCAAAAGTGAAGGGATGGAGAATTACATCCCATGCAGATGGAAACAAAAAGAAAGCTGGTATAGCGATACGCATATCAGACAAAATAGACTTTAGAAGGAAGACTGTAATAAAAGAGAAAGAGGGCCACCATATTAATAAAAGGGTCAATCCAGCAAGAATATATAACATTTATAAATAATATACAGCCAAAATAGGAGCACCAAAATATATAGAGCAAATAATAACAGACCTAAAGGGAGAAATTACGAGTAATGCAATAATAGTAGGGGACTTTAACATCCCACTTACATCAGTGGATAGGTCATCCAAACAAAATTAATAAGGAAATGTTGGCCTTAAACAATACATTAGACCACACAGACTTTAATAGGTATATACAGAACATCCCATCCAAAGCAGGAGAATACACGTTCTTCTCAAATGCACATGGAACATTCTACCGTATAGATCACATGTTAGGCCACAAAACAAGTCTCAATAAATACAAGATAAAAATCATGTCAAGCGTCTTTTCTGACCACAATAGTATAAAACTAGAAATCAATTACAAGAGGAAAACTGGAAAAACGACAAATACATGGAAATTAAACAACATGTTAACAATTGTTGGGTCATAGAAGAAATCAAAGGAGAAATTAAAACACCTAGAAACAAATGAAAACAGAAACACAATATAACAAAATCTATAGGATGTAGAAAAAGGGGTTCTAAGAGGGAAGTTCAAGTGATAAATGCCTATTATCAAGAAACAAGAGGGGCGCCTGGGTGGCTCAGTCGTTAAGCGTCTGCCTTTGGCTCAGGTCATGATCCCAGGGTCTTGGGATCGAGCGCCACATCAGGCTCCCTGCTCCGCGGGAAGCCTGCTTCTCCCTCTCCCAGTCCCCCTGCTTGTGTTCCCTCTCTCGCTGTCTTTCTCTCTCTGTCAAATAAATAAATAAAATATTTAAAAAAAAAAAAAAAGAAAGAAACAAGAAAGATCTCAAATAAACAACCTAACTTTACACCTTAAGGGACCAGAAAAAGAAGAACAAACAAAACCCAAAATTAGGAGGAGGAAGGAAATAAGATAAGAGTGGAAATAAATGAAATAGAGACTAAAAAGACAATAGAAAACATCAATGAAACTAAAAGCTGGTTCTTTGAAAAGATAAACAAAATAGACAAACCTTTAGCTAGACTGACCAAGAAAAAGAGAGGGCTCAAATAAAAATCAGAAAGGAAAGAGGAGAGGTTACAACTGATACCACAGAAATACAAAGGATCATAAGAGACTGTTGTGAATTGGATGTGCTAAGGATGTGTCTTGGGGCAGGTGGAAGGGAGATGAGAGGTATATGTAGGAAGACAGGGAAGCACTTCCCTCTCACTCTGTACTTCTGAAACAAACATTTCACTAAATAATAGTTTATAACACATGGTGCTGATGTTTCTGAACCATTGTATCTTACTATTTTTAACTGGTTGCAATCCATATTGATTTCATGACCTCTTTTTTTTTAAGATTTTATATATTTGACAGAGACACAGCGAGAGAGGGAACACAAGCGGGGGGGTGGGAGAGGGAGAAGCAGGCTTCCCGCTGAGCAGGGAGCCCAATGTAGGACTCGATCCCAGGACCCTGGGACCAGGATCTGAGCCAAAGGCAGACGCTTAATGACTGAGCCACCCAGGCGCCCTGATTTCATGACCTCTTAAACATTACAACTTGCAGTATGAAAACCACTCTTCCATAGACCTATCCACTTGGTCATTGAATGCAGTTGACTAGCAACTATTGTGCATTTTTGTGTAAAGGTTATGGAGAAACACCTTTTTAAAAAATAATATGATTCTAAAAACTGCTTCATAAAACTGAAGCTTTAGGGGAATTTCTTTACATTTTCTCCTCTGTTAAACTGAGCCTTGAGATGACAGGGGCTGTTTATTCATTTATCATTGTGTTGCCAATACTTAACACAGTGCTTTGCTCATGGTGGATACTTAATAAATAATGAGTGAATGAATGGTTTGATGAACGTTAGTACAGTACTCTTGTTCGAATCATTTTTCTGAAATACTGCAAGGTATTTCTAAGATAATTCTTGTTTATAATGAATTTAGAGAGAAATAAATTTGTGAAGGATAAAAAAAAGAGACTACTGTGAGCAATTATATGCCAACAAACTGGACAACTGAAAAAGAATGAATAAATTCCTAAAAACTTGCAATCTTCCAAGACTGAATCATAAAGAAATAGAAAATCTGAATAGACCAGTGAAGAAAAAATAAATAAAAAATAAAGGGGGGGGGGAAGCCCCCCCGCAAACAGAAATCCAAGACCAGACGGCTTCACCAGTAAATTCTACCAAACATTCAAGGATTTAATACCTACCCTTTCAAACTCTTCCAAAAAATTGAAAAGGAGGGACTGCTTCCAAACTCATTTTACAAGGCCAGCACTACCCTGATACCAAAACCAGATAAGGACACAACAACAACAAAAAAAAGAATGAAAGAAAATTATAGGCCAATATCCCTGATGAACATAGATGCAAAATCCTCAACTATTAGCAAATGGAGTTCAACAACACTTTAAAAGTATCATATACCATAATCCAGCGGGCTTTATTCCAGGGATGCGAGGGTAATTCAACATCTACAAATCAGTCAATGTGATACACAATATTAACAAAATAAAAGATAACAATCATGATCATTTCAATAGATGCAGAAAAGCATTTGACAAAATTCAACATCCATTTATGGTAAAAACAAAACAGAACCCTCAACAAAGTGGGTACAGAAGGTACATATCTTAATATAATGAAAACCATATATGACAAACCCAATGGATAAAAGCTGAAAATACTCAATGGATAAAAGCTGAAAGCCTTTCCTCTAAGATCAGGAACAAGACAAAGATGCCCACTCTCACCAGTTTTATGCAGCAGAGTCCTGGAAATGCTAGCCACAGCAATTACACAAGAAAAAGAAATAAAAGGCATATAAATTGGAAAGGAAGAAGTAAAATTGTCACCGTTTGCAGATGACATGACACTATATATAGAAAACCCTAAAGACTCTACCAAAAAAATTTTTAGAATTAGTAAATGAATTCAGTAAAGTTGTAGGATACAAAATCAATGTACAAAAATCTGTTGCATTTCTATACACTAATAACAAACTATCAGAGAAATCAAGAAAACAGTCCCATCTACAATTGCATAATACACACACACACACACACACACACACACACACACACACACACCTAGGAATACATTTAACGAAGGAGGTAAAAGACCTTATTAAACTATAAGATATTGATGAAAGAAATTAAAGAAGACACAAACAAATGGAAAGATATTCCATGCTCTTGGATTGGAAGAATTAATATTGTTAAAATATCCATCTGCCCAAAGCAGTCTACAGATTCAATGCAAACCCCATCAAAATTCCAGTGGTGGGTGCCTGGGTGGCTCAGTCATTAAGCATCTGCCTTCAGCTCAGGTCGTGATCCCAGAGTCCTGGGATCGAGTCCCACATCAGGCTCCCTGCTCAGCGGGAAGCCTGCTTCTCCCTCTCCCACTCCCCTTGCTTGTGTTCCTGCTCTCACTGTGTCTCTCTCTGTAAAATAAATAAATAAAATCTTTTTTAAAAAAAATTCCAATGGTATTTTTAACAGAACTAGAACATGTATTCTAAAATTTATAGGGAACAACCAAAGACCCCAAACAGCCAGAACAGTCTTGAGAAAGAAGAACAAAGCCAGAGGTATTATGTGCCTTGACTTCAAACTATACTACAAAGCTATGGTAATCAAAACAGTATGGCACTGGCACAAAAACAGACATACAGATCAGTGGGACAGAACAGAGAGCCCAGAAATAAACCCATGTATATGTATATGGTCAATTAATTTTTGACAAAGGAGGCAAGAATATACAATGAGGAATGGATAGTCTCTTCAATAAATGATATTGGGAAAACCGGACAGCTACATGCAAAAGAATGAAACTGGACCACTTTCTTACACCATATACAAAAATTAACTCAAAATGAATTAAAGACCTGAATGTAAGACCTGAAACTATAAAACTTCTAAAAGAAAACACAGATGGTAAGCTCCTTGACATCAGTCTTAGTGATGTTTTTGTGAATCTGACTCCAAAGGCAAGGGAAATAAAGCAAAAGTAAACAACTGGGACTAAGTCAAACTAAAAAGCTTCTGCGCAGTGAAGGAAACCATCAGCAAAATGAAAATAGAACCTACTGAATGGGAGAAGATATTTGCATATGATTTATATATCCAATAAGGGGTTAATATCCAAAAAAATACAAAGAACTCATACAACTCATTAAAAACAAAGAAATCTGATTAAAAAATGGGCAGAGAAAAAAAAGGGGCAGAGGATCTGAATAAACATTTTCCCAAAGTAGACATACAGGTGGCCAACAGGTACCTGAAAAGATGCTCGACATCACTAATCATCAGGGAAATGCAAATCAAAGCCACAATGAGTTATCACCTAACACCAGTCAGAATGTCTAGTATCAAAAAGACAAGAAATAAGTGTTGGTGAGGATGTGGGGGAAGGAGAACTCTCAAGCCCTGTTGGTGGGAAGGTAAACCTGTGCAGCCACTATGGAAAACATTATGGAGGTTCCCACAAAATTAAAAATAGAACTACCACATGATCTAGCAATTTCACTGCTCAGTATCTATCCAAAGAAAATGGAAACACTAATTTGAAAAGATACAGTGCACCACTGTGTTCACTGCAGCATTATTTACAATAGCCAAGATATGGAAACAACCTAAACATGTCCTTCAATGGATGAATAGATAATGGGGTGTGTGTGTGTGTACACATGCATGCATTGTGTTATATTACGTGTTTTATATATATAACGTGTTTTATATATGTAATGTGTTATATATATAATGTGTTTTATACACACACACACACACACACACACACACACGGGAATATTACTCAGCCATGAAAAAGAATGTAATGGTGCCATTTGAGACAACACAGAACTCGAGGATATTATACTAAGAGAAATAAGTCAGAGAAAGACAAATACCACCTCATTTCACTTAATATGTGGAGTCTAAAAAACAAACAAGCAAAACAAACATACAGAGAACAGATTGGCAGTTGGTGGAGGGGAGGGGGGTTAAGGTGGTGTGAAATGGGTAAAGGGGATCAAGAAGTACAGACTCCCAGTTATAAGATGAATAAGTTATGGGGATTAATGTATAGCATGTGGAATATAGTCAATAAGATTATATTAACTTTGTAGGGTGACAGATGGTAACTAGACTTAGTGTGGTGATCATTTCACAACGGATGCAAATGTTGTACACCTGAGACTAGTATAATATTGTATGTCAATTATACCTCAATAGAAAAAAAAATAAGAAAGGAAGACGCCCCTTGGAAGTTGAGGGTTTAATTATGGAGAATGCTTATTAGTCCACATTGGAAGAGCTAGGGCCTCCCCGTGGTTATGTCTGAAGGTGAAACATTCCCAGAGAATAAGGATCCTTCTAGGGTATTTGCTGCTTAGAGAAAACTATTAGCCCCCTCCAGGTGAGCCAACAGACAGGGAAGGTGAGGACCAAGACCAGCAGCAAAAGCATCTTGTCAACTGAAATTTGTATCCATCCACCAGTGTCTGACTCAGCTGGCCCTCTTGACATACCCAGCAGGCCAAGAGTTCAGAAAGCAGCCTGTTTATTGGAAATTTGGAGACAAGATAAAGTGTCTGTGATAAAATAACCTTGAAAATCCCCAGCATTATAGAAATTTGGTTTCATACTGAGAGAGTAGGGTCTCGTGTTTGGTAATCCTTTGCTCTTTGTTCTGCTGCTGAGATTTCTCTTCCTCCCTGCTCACACCCTCTGATTTCTAGATGCACCTTTGGGTCTAGGGGGCCACTCCCATGTTGAGGTTCCCTTTCAACAGCAGGCCCCCAAAATATCTTGGCTTGGAACCACAAACACATCTTTATCAAAGGTCATGTTAAGTCTGGGAAAGAAAATTCCTGCCGGGTAGAGAAGTACAGCAAATGAAAATAGAAGGTGACCTTCCAGGCTGCAAGTGGCAAGTGTATGTGGGTGCTGACAGGCAAGAGTGGGCCCTCCCTCGGGAGGGGGAGGGGGACACACATCCTCCATGTCTGGCAGGACTCTGGTCTGGATGGGAGCTTGTCAACATCCCCTGTAATGTTGACTTTGGGCCTTGTCATTTGATTTAGGTGGAAGACTACCTGTTTGAAAAAGCAGAGGTCAACTTTTGGGCTGAGACCCTAATCTTTGTGAAATACCTCTCTGAGCACCTCTTCCGGCTCCTCTCCAAGTCCAGCTGCAATGCCCTCAGCCCCCAAAGCCTCCACCATCTTCACAGAACAGCGTCAGAGCAGGGCCACCTCCTCTCCCAGCTCTTCAGAGAGCTGCCACCAGCTGCTGAATTTTTGAAGACAGTGGAATTCACGAGACTGCGCATTCAGGAGGAGAGGACTTCGGCTTGCCTGAGGCTGCTGGCCCTTTTGGCAGGAAAGGAAAGGGAAGACACCCCCATTCTCGGTGCTTCCGACTCTCCTGCAGAAGCGAATCAGTTCACTCTTGTAAGAAAAGAAACGGCTTGTTGAAGAAAGAAGACTTTTGGGGGTGGGGTGGGGATGGACTCTTCCCCCATTCCCATCTGCAGGGAACGTGTTGAACATAAATTCAAATATCGTCTTCCCTTTGTGAGTCTAGTCTTCTGTCCCTTCCTACAGAGGAATTTTTCTTCAGTTCACCCATTCAGGGCAGCCTGGTTTATTGCAGCTACTGTAGGAAGTGAGGCTACCACATTGAATATTGACTCTGTTCCCAGGTGCAGGCCACCTGCAGACCTGAATTCGCCTTTTTCTTCCTCCACAACCTCCAACGTCCGGCCATAGCCAGCCAGCATTTTCTGTGAACTGACTGTACAAAACTGGATTGTAACACATGATTTTCTCTTTTTTCCACTGGATAGAAGAGCTGGATTAGTTGGCAAACAGCCCACTGGATCAGAATTCCAAATTTTATTCCATTTTAGCTAAAGCAAAAGTAGGTTCCGAATGTTGGATCCCGGGAGAATTAGAGATCAACTGCATAGAAATAGTTTTGTTTCCACTATCTACGTGTGTGAGCCTGTGACGACCTGCACATGCCATCCGAATTATTAAAAGAGCTCCTAGCCACCAAGTGTTTGGGCTAATGCTAGGAAACCTGATTTTGCCACCCACTGAAAGCATAGACCCTTGGCTGTTAGAAGGAAGCCCGGAGAAGGGAAAGCCAGAATAAATGATTTATTCGATTCCTACAATGTTTTGCTGTCATTTTCTTGGTGGCAATAACAAGATTCTCATTTAAGATGTCAGAAAACACATTTATTCACTTTAGTGTTTGAATCTAGACACCCGACGGGTTTCCTGCCTTTTCGAAGCCCGGCCCAGCCCTCTTCCTCTGATACCCAGCAGGCGTCGCTCTTGCACACATTTTGCTGCTGGCCCTGCCTTTCCTTGGCTTGCCATTTTCTACTTACAATTTCAGAATAAGCGTTACCTGCAGACAGCTATTTTGAAATTCATAGTTTGGATTGGTCATAATCTCATCTATATTCGTTTTTCATCCTGATTATCAGAAAAAGCCATTTTGGTAGTAATATGTAGAGTTGGTCCAGCTTTTAGGGTCTGTAAATATTTTTAAATACTTCTCTGGTGAGCAGTCACTTTGGAATTATGTTAAAGGGGCAGTTTAGAGGAGAGAGGGTTTGATAAAATTTCTTACTGCAGAAAGGCTCGTGTTTCAAATTTGCTTCTCTTTAAAAGAAAACCACCTACCACTAAAAACACAACCGTACTGGAAGTATAGAGAAAGGATCCATAGGAAAAAGCAGGGAATGAAGTGAACTTACTAAAGAGAACAGGAAATTCCCTGGGTAGTTTTGCACTATTCAGCTCAAAATGTGGTAGGTTTTTTTTTGTGATCCTGAATTAATTACCTGGTTGGGCATCTGTGTAGCCCACACATGATGGAAAGTTGCCAGTCTAACATTTCTTTTTGTTCTGAGCAGACCTGACTGGGTGAGAAGTCAGGGAATCGTTGGCATGATGCAGTGATGACCATGGTTCAGTAACTATGAAACTGGCCTCAGCAAAGCCCAACTCACTGGAAAAGACCAGCATTCCTTTTTTCTCCACTTAAGATGAAATAAAAGCCATTACATAACAATAAAAATACTTTCTACCAGTGGGTACTCTGTACCAAAGCATGTCGCATAGCATATTTATTACGTTATCTCCAGGATCCTTCTACCCAGCCTACAAAGTGAGTGTTCTCATGGCTGCTGACTGGTAATTACCCCAGATTCTGATGTTGGCTGGCTGTGGCCAGCCTGGGAGGACAGGAGGGACAGATGTTTCTCCTGGTTTTGAATCTGAAATCTTATTACTGACCTACAATAGCAGTGGCTAAGGAAATGGCTGTTTCACACTTGCCTGATGCACTTCCAGGGGAATCTTAGAATACTGCTGTCAGGGCTACCCTCAAACTCCTGTGTTTGGGGTCATTTCAACAAAGAACAAAACAGAACAGTTGGGGTTCTTGGGTATTGCAGGCTGTGTCAGCCACCATTGTCTGGCGCTGCCTGGGGGTCAGTGTAGGGCTGGGTGGTGCAATCACCAGGAGCAAAAGAGTCACCTCTCCTGAGGTCCCTGCCCTTGGCTCCAAGCCAGAGGGTCCAAGATTCGGTGCCCCTCAGGTCTGCAGCCATGATTCTGTGGATCTCTACCCATCTGGCCACAGCACAGAGACCTGGCTGTGTCCGTTTTTATGGTTTGTCAACTTGTTTTAATAATAAGGCTTATACTTGTTCGTTCATCTTTTATACACCTTAACAGATAACTCATTTGCGCCTTGACAAAGGTGAGAGACGAGTAAAGCGGGAATTATCAGTTTTACAAGGAAACGCAAGTACCAAAGAGATCGTGATTTGCCCAGGGTCACATGGCTTGGAAGAGGCAGGGCCTGAACTCCAGCCCTGTGTTTCTGATCCTCAAGTCCTTGCAACCCTATGCAGACTCCCGCTCTTTGGGTGGATGCGTGGGGAGTTTCAGCAGGGGGAACTGCATGCAAACTGAGCTCAGGAGTCAGTTCCACGAGTGACAGGCCTGGCTCATCCTTTCCAGGGTAACGAATGGAAATGACCACGAAAAAACAGCAAGAAATAAGATCGATTTTGGAAAGGGGCTGTGGGTTGTCAACTTCCCTAGAGGGAACTGGGCCTTCCAACTGAGGCACAATTGCAGCCTAGGCTGCCAGGTGTGCGGGATCACGGACCCGCTCCAGCTTTTTGGCATCATGTGTTTAAACGCGGAGTGATAAGCGTCCTGGACCAGACCCCAGATCTGCCCGAACCGGGGTGTCAGCCGCTTTAGCCTAACTGGGCGCTAGGGGGGGGTGTCTGCCTCATACCCGGAGGGCGCCCGTTGGCGAAGGCATTTCCCAGCGCAGGCTTTTTGGGGTGTGGGACTGGCGAGGGCGGGAGGGGGCGAGCCCACCTTGAGCGTCCTCGGTGCCCAGCCCTACCTGGCCGCTGGCCGGCCTCAGCCACAGCCTGCGGCCCACAACGAACTAAAGCAGGGCGCGGCGCCTCCAACGGCCGGCGAGAGAAGGGGCCTGAAGGGCGCGCCGGGCGGCGATCCTCAGCCGGCAGCTGCACCCCATCCCCCGGGAGGGATGGGGAAGGCCGGGCGGATCAGCGGAAGAACGGGGTGGCGGGAAGTCGCCTCCATGCTTGCGCAGCTCTCCCGGCCTTCCCTCCCGTCCTCCCAGCCCGCTACCCCGCCCGGGATGCTCCGCGCCACTCCGCGCCTTTGGCCCTGGCTCAAGGTCTTGTGATGTGATTAGCAAAGCCAGCGCCTTGTCCTCAGACACTCAGCCCAGCCCGGCAGGCCCCAGCGCTGAAACCCTGTTTACTGCAGCCTGGGCGGGGAGGGGGGCGGAGAAACGGGCCCAGGCTCCTCCGGGCGAGACTGCCGCGGCCGCGTGGCCACTCCCGCCCCCACCCCCACCGCGTCTCCACGTGCAGTCGCGATGGAGCCGCCACCCACCGGACGCAGGCCCTGAGCCCCCGCCCCCCGGCCGGAGCACTCTGCAAGCCAGCGGGACCGCGCGGACGATTGCAATATTCTCGCATTTTGCAATTCCCGCGCCCAGTCTAGAGCCGAGAGTGGGAGATTAAAGCTCCGCAATTTCTCCTAGCAGGATCGGACGGGGAGAGACACGTCCAGAGCTGCAGAACCCTGGCCGCTTTAAACGTGCAGGGGATTTCCAACAGTGCAACCCCAAAGGAGAAGAGCCTTATCTTCCCGCCGCCACCCGGCAGCACCCAACAGGAACGAACTCTCCACGCCGCCGCAGGCGCTCCGGCAGCCGGCCCCGCCCCAAGGCCTCCCGCCCCCTCCCCCGGATGAAAAAAAAAATTGGCGGCGGCCAATGGGAGGCCACGAAGGCGCTTGACGTCCGCGAGCCGGCGGGCGGCGTTGCCTGGAGACCCCGGCGGGGTCAGTGTTCTGTCCCCTCCCCCGGCACGCCCGCCCCGCCGCTGCCGCGCTCCCGGACTCTATATAGGGCGCGCGCTCGCGGGCCGCGGAGTTCCAGCAGTCCGCGAGCTGTCGTCGGCTCCGCGCGGGGGGGGGGCGGGCCGGGCACCCCGGGGCGCGGAGGCGCGCTCTCTGCTTCTCTCTCCTTTTTCCCCCCCACTCCGCACTCCCGGGCACCCTCAAACCAGTCCACGCTGCTTCCCTCTCCCTCTAGTCTCGTCCCCCGGCAAACTTTCGGTCCCTCCCCCGCCAGTCACCCGTTATTCGTCGTGGCTCGAGCCCGGCCGTGCCGCCCCGAGGGCTCCTCCGGACCTCCCTGCCTGCAACTCCGACCATTACAGGATCCAGAAACATGTCGACCACACTTCTGTCCGCCTTCTACGATATCGACTTCTTGTGCAAGGTACGCGAGGGACCAAGGAGGGAGGAAGGCGGGCAGGCAGGAAGCCCCTCGAGTTTTCAGACTTTGCTTCTGTCCTCCGCTTTTGGGGCACCCCTCCCCACTTTGACTTTGGGGTCGGGAAAAGTTCTGGAGTTTACTGTAGTGTGTGCTCGTGCCTTGTGGGCGGGGAGAAGGAGCAGGGAGTAAGGGCAGGAGGGAGCCGCTGTCGTTGTTTCTCCCGCGCCGACCGCGGCCACGCTGCCTGGGGCTTCCCGGATGGGGTTTGCGCCGCCCAGGGTGGCGGCCCACGGGCTGAGGATCACATGTCGAAACCGAGCGCGGCCTGGGGTGGGAGTCGGCTCCTCCCAACGCGAACTTGATTCTTTTGCGCGTGTACGGGTGGAGGGTGGGGGCCGAATCGAAATCTGCAAAAAGGAAGAAGAAACAGAAGGCTGAAGTTCCTCTGCAACTCGCCCCAACTCATTCCTCCCTTTCCATATTTCATCCCGTCCTCGCCCCCCTCCTTTTGGCAGACGGAGAAATCCCTGGCCAACCTCAATCTGAACATGCTGGACAAGAAGGCAGTGGGGACGCCCGTGGCCGCCGCCCCTAACTCGGGCTTCACGCCGGGCTTTCTCCGACGGCACTCGGCCAGCAACCTGCACGCACTCGCCCACCCCGCGCCTAGCCCCGGCAGCTGCTCGCCCAAGTTCCCGGGCGCGGCTAACGGCAGCAGCTGCGGCAGCGGGGCGGCGGGCGGCCCGGCCTCCTACGGCACCCTCAAGGAGCCGTCAGGGGGCGGCGGCACAGCCCTGCTGAACAAGGAGAACAAATTCCGGGACCGCTCGTTCAGCGAGAACGGCGAGCGCAGCCAGCACCTCTTGCACCTGCAGCAGCAACAGCAGCAGCAGCAGAAGGGGGGCGGAGGCTCCCAGATCAACTCGACGCGCTACAAGACTGAGCTGTGCCGGCCTTTTGAGGAGAGCGGCACGTGCAAGTACGGCGAGAAGTGCCAGTTCGCTCACGGCTTCCACGAGCTGCGCAGCCTGACCCGGCACCCCAAATACAAGACGGAGCTGTGCCGCACCTTCCACACCATCGGCTTCTGTCCCTACGGGCCGCGCTGCCACTTCATCCACAACGCCGACGAGCGGCGGCCCGCGCCGTCGGGGGGCGCCTCCGGGGACCTGCGCGCCTTCAGCGCGCGGGACGCGCTGCACCTGGGCTTCCCCCGGGAGCCGCGGCCCAAGCTGCATCACAGCCTCAGCTTCTCGGGTTTCCCTTCGGGCCACCACCAGCCCCCGGGGGGCCTGGAGTCGCCGCTGCTGCTCGACAGCCCCACGTCGCGCACGCCGCCGCCGCCGCCCTCTTGTTCCTCGGCCTCGTCCTGCTCCTCCTCCGCTTCGTCCTGCTCGTCGGCCTCCGCGGCCTCCACGCCCTCGGGCGCCCCGACGTGCTGTGCTTCGGCAGCGGCTGCGGCCGCTGCGGCCCTGCTGTATGGCACCGGGGGCGCCGAGGACCTGCTGGCGCCGGGCGCCCAGTGCGCGGCCTGTTCGTCGGCTTCGTGCGCCAACAACGCCTTTGCGTTCGGCCCGGAGCTGAGCAGCCTCATCACGCCGCTCGCCATCCAGACCCACAATTTCGCCGCCGTGGCCGCCGCGTACTATCGCAGTCAGCAGCAGCAGGGCCTGGTGCCCCCCGCGCAGCCCCCGGCGCCGCCCAGCGCGCCCCTCCCTGCCAGTGCCGCCGCGCCGCCCTCGCCGCCCTTCAGCTTCCAGCTGCCGCGCCGCTTGTCCGAGTCGCCCGTGTTCGACGCGCCCCCTAGCCCCCCGGACTCGCTGTCGGACCGCGACAGCTACTTGAGCGGCTCCCTGAGTTCGGGCAGCCTCAGCGGCTCCGAGTCCCCCAGCCTCGACCCGGGCCGCCGCCTGCCCATCTTCAGCCGCCTGTCCATCTCCGACGACTGAGGCGACAGGGGGGCGCCAGCGCGGAGGAGGAAGGGAAGGCCGTTCTGGGGGTGTTGGCGGGCGCCCCTGACATCTGGAGTCCTGTTAGGGGCAGGGAGGGGCACGGGAGTCGGGCGGCGGTGGGGGGGAACAGGCCACGACCAGACTGCGGGCCGCACCGAGCACTTGGACTCGAACTTGTGTGCCGGGAGGGGCCCCCACCCCTCCCCTTTCGGTTTCCTCTTTTTTGTTTTTTTTTAATTATTTTTATTATTATTAACGAAGTTTCATTCTTGTTGAGCAAAAAAAGCCAACGAACTTTTGTATTGATGAACAA